GCTACGGGTATGAGCTTCGTAGAGGCTAGACTTTGATGTGTTTTTTTTGGTACCTACACAGTAATGGTTTCAACTTGCTGCTGTACGGACTTGGGTCCAAGAGAGTCCTGATTGACCAGTTCAGAACTACCGTACTAAGGGATACAGTACAGATGGTGGTGAATGGGTACTTTCCAAGTATAACTGTCAAACATGTAAGTACATATAGAATTATACAACACGAGGTATTCCGTATCGCTCGAGGTACCAGCCCGACCGCGTGTTGGATTGCCCGAAGGCTGGAGGGAGATCTGATCCGCGGGAGGGCCGGGACCGAGGGTGATGCAGAATACACCGTGTTGTATTTTATTTATGTCATACCCACCCAAGAAAACACGCCTTTCAATGCGAAATAAGCAAAAAGTTGGTGTCCCTAAACCCAAAAAATGCAAAGAACATCAATTCCAATGTCCGAATTTTGTATTCAAATTTTCGAAAGCGGTGCATGCGGTTAGAGCGAAATGCGTTTGAGTCATTCTATGGAACATTTGGAAGCCCGGGCTGTACACGTTAAGAACCCCCGGGCCGTACCGCTAGTTTATCACACGGTCCGGAACACCCGTATCGAACGTACATTGTAATCGCGGCCCAGGTAAGACATGAAGTACACAACCATTGTTGTACAATCAAGTTAGAGATACAACAACTTCATACTTGAAGCTTTTGAAATAGCCAAAATCAAGCTACATTACGTGAGGCATCTTTTCATTTTTGAGTTACTACCATCCAAAAATAGCCAGAACTAGCCTTGATACAAAACAAGCAACCATTTTCCATCAGCAACATCGCATTTTGCCTTGCAGATATCAGTATGCTATGGGATAGGATTGATTCAACTTAACGACATTATAAGTATATTTTTTACCAGAAAGTTGACTTTGAAAATAAAGTTTTGCTGTCCTAACATTGTATTGGATGCTTTTAAATGAACATTCAATGTGAATTATACCACTCCATACATGTATGCTTGAAGGCATTTTTAAAATGATCATTTGATTGGATATACTAGTACATTGTACATATAATGACCAGCACTTTATTGTATCTCCCTTAGATTTTGAATTCCATAACAGAAGAAGTACTAGAGCACACTGGGAGCTTCAGAAGTGTCCAGGACCAACTAACCTTCATCAAGGACACTTTTGAAGAAACTGGAGGTAGGGATTTAACAGGCTGGGTGACGTCAGCTCAGGAAAAATATAGACAATTTGCAAAAATAAAATGTAGAGATGCAAATCGCCTGCCAGGACTGGCTTGTGCTAACTTTTCCAAGGTAGGGCATTATGTGTCTGTTAGCCAGGTAATACTACATGCAGTTATGCCCAATTAAAATCAGCTCATATTTTGGTATCACGAGCACTTTAAAAACATGATGCTGAAATATGTTATGAATATGACTGTTAATGAAATTAATGTTGTGTTTCCTTAGCCTCAGGTTACCAAACCATTTTAACCAGAGTGATCCAACAAATACAGTTAATCAGTATAACACCGAAATGCTTGGTACGTTTTTTTACTTGAACCAAAACGTTAGGTTTGATTTTTATTCGGTCCAGTGCACACCTCTTTATGTCAGATGCCAACCTCCCTCCCCCCAAAAAAAGGATTTGGATCTGGACTTGTAAGAATGTTTAGGTTCAAGTCCAAAAAACCCCTAAAAGTCATGAATCGAGTCCGGACTTATTACAAAAAAAAAAAAAAAACATTTTCACATACCCCTTTTCTTTCCAAACCACCTAAAACCTTCCGTAGATTACAAAATCTTTGCTCCAAAATGAAGAAAACATTGCCATCGGGCATCGTCAAGTGTCGGCCTCCATGATATGTGGCCAAAGTTTTGCCCAAACAACATTGCAAGGTTGCCAACATGCAATTTTGTATATGCCATGGGTTAAGGTTCGGACTTAGGAGTCCGGAACTGAACCTAAACCTCTGGACTTGAATCTGGACATGAACCTAAATGTGGGTTTAGTACACAGCACTAGATGTACATGTATGTGACAGGCTTTACATTGTATCTCTAAACAGAGGAGTTATTCCTGTTTATCCACAACATTGACGGCCCCATGCTGCGAGGGGAGAAGGTCCAGTCTGTTCTGTGTCAGCTGGCTCAGGTGGGCGGGGTCCGTATCATAGCAACCATCGACCACATCAACGCTCCGCTAAGTAAGTACATGTAGTATGCAAGGTGCAATACAACTATTTCATCACTCACTCACTCACTCACTCACTCACTCACTCACTCACTCACTCACTCACTCACTCACTCACTCACTCACTCTCACTGAGTCGAGCTTCCCTCGGTGCCAATGACTGCTCTCCATCTCTTCCTATCCTTCATTTCTACCATCAGGTTTTTCCTATCGAGCTGGGTGTCGTCCATTAATTCAATATGTAGTTTCTTGCTGGACGACCTCGACTTCTTTTCCCATGTGAGGGTTCCCACAGTATTAGCTGGTTTATGATTTCATCCTTACTTCTGTAGCAGTGTCCGATGAACCTCAACCTTCGCTTTCTTATTGTTTCGCTCTCTGTGGGTAGATTTTCATACAGTACCCCATTTGGTATCTTTTGGTAAGGTACAGTTTTTACAAACCTAAACATTTTGTTGTAGGTCCCGTTTAGTCGTTTCTCTAGGGATTTTGTCACTATTTCATGGATATTTGCATATTTCATTATTTGTATGATAGGAAATTTTGTCTATAATTTGTCCTCTTCAGGAATTTTAAATTTTTATTGTAGCTCTGTCATATGCCTCTAACAAGTTTTATCTGTTTTATGTAATTTAATCAGTTTTATGCAAGCTAATGACTTTAATGATGATAATTGTTTATATTAGTATAAAATTTAGTAACTCATAAGTTTTATGAATTCATTAACTGATCTGACCTAAATTCTTTATAATTTTTAATTCTTAATTTGCAAGTCTGTTCTACTATGTAAATCTGTACTGGAGAGTTAATCAAATTGCAGAGGTACTTTGCTTTTTGAAACCTTTGCTAAAATGATTAACAGCCATACATTTTCAGAACAAGTTGACAGTTGTTGATACAGATTTGAATATATCTTTACGTGTAATGTTTCCCATAATGCAAAAATAGGTAGATATATAAAGGACTGCTTTGTTATTAGAAAAAATACCGAAACTTGTGATTAACCCACTTGATTATAACACTTTATCAAAGACTTGTGCTAGCCCTTATTGTTTATATCATATATTATATGTTAGGTTTTATTTGACATTAGGTCTCATTCAATACATTTATTTTATTGTCTGTTACTTTCTTTATGTAGTTTGCCATACATTGTACCATGTGCAATTGTCGTGCAATAAAGTTCTTCTTCTTTTTATATTCTGTACCTGTTCAGTCTGGGACCAGAACAAGGCCAGCAGGTTTAACTGGCTGTGGTATGACGTGACCTCGTATGAACCCTACGTGGAGGAGACGTCCTATGAGAACTCCCTCATGGTGCAACAGTCAGGCGTGCTCGCTCTCAGCTCTCTTGTACATGTGCTCAGGAGTCTTACACCGAACGCAAGGTGATACATGTATAGTTGTTGTGTCTTGTTTTATTACCACCATGAAAAATGGAGTTACAAAATGTATAATTGTTTTTGGCGTGTCTGTCTGTGTGTCTGTCTGTGTGTTTCCGCAACTTCGTGGTCAGCATAACTTCAGAATGCCTTTACATGTATGCATTGAAATGATATTTGGTATGTTGGTAAGTCTTGGAAAGAAAAAGGTCAAGGTCAAGTATGGGCCTCCTGGTGGATGACCTTGGTACTGCAGCAGAACTTCCATTTTTTGTATCTTTTGTCCTGAACATGCTATGGTCTTACTTTTTGGTGACACTGACAGATAGCTTTTCCTGTCAGAAATAAGTGGTGTGGGTTTGGTCCCCTTAGTAGCTTGTTCTGGAACTGCAGGGGACTTTCTGGTGAATTCTCTTAAAACCTACAAGTCCAGATAGGAACAACGTATTTCCATCATATTTGGTATGTAGGTAGCTGAAAGAGAAATGTACATGCAAATTATGCAAATGAAGACTTGTCATTTGCATAATTAACAAGGACAAAAACTCATATATTTCATGGAGGTATGAGATCTCCGAATTCTTGTTTGCTTTGTGTTTTTTTTAGGATTTCCTTGCTCCTTTTTTTTATTTAATAGAAAATATCACACATAGTGAGTGAGAGTGTAGAGTAATACACATGACTTAGATTTATGTTTCATATGACTTATTTATTCATATTTTAATATTCATTTATTCATTATATTTGGGATGTGTATCAACACAAAAATGTTCATATTTTGTTTCGTGTATTGTTTGTTTCTTCAGTGCTCTGATTTCATATAATATTATATACTATTTTGTAACCTTAAATGAAAACTAGAAAGGCAGACATCATTTACTGAGCAAATGGCTTCACCACATCCCCCATACCAAAAATGGACCTGTCCCCTACTACACTGCCACCTTGATGACAATCTGTAAACAATTTCCTTTGTCATTCCTAACTATTTTATACTTTTCTTATTGCTCCAGAGGAATTTTTCACCTGTTGGCAGAGTATCAGCTGGAACACAAAGATGACTCCAGTTACATCGGTTTGTACTCTAAACACTGTGTACTTCACAAACAATGTGTGGCCGTGTGGCGTAATGGCAGAGTGCTCGACTTGGAACCAACAGGTCCCGGGTTCAAGTCCTGACATGCCACCTATATTGTGAAAATGAGTTTTGTCCTGTCCTGTATTTGTCCTCTGCATTGGTGGCAGCATAAAATAAGTTGATATAACTTGAGTGTGCTGTCACAATATAGTCATGAAATGTTAGAATAAAACTAGAAAGGCCAATATTTGCTTTGGAGCAAATACAGCGATGGGTTCACCACATTTTACGACATGGCAGGGAAAGAATGAGAAACACAAGGGAAAACAATGATTTACATTGATATAACTATAATATGAAGTAACATACGACTAAAACAACAGTTGGATAGCTATTCCCTACTTTATTGGTTAGGATTTTTAATTGCATAATGCAAACTGTTGATTTTCAAAATAAAAATAACGTTCATGCCCCGCATTCCAATGCTGGAGCAGGAAAGCTTGAAATACCTACCAAAACACTTGAATACAGACATACTGTCAGTATGGAAATGCTCTGTGCAGGTGTTAATCAAGTTAAATCCCAACAGCCAATTAGCAAGAAATGCTCTGTGCAGGTGGAAATGCTCTGTGCAGGTGTTAATCAAGTTAAATCCCAACAGCCAATCAGCAAGAAGTATAGAGGAAAGCTGCATGCCTATTGGTTGATGCCCTGCATTCCATTGTGATGACTCATACCCAAACGTGGTAAACATGGCACACTAACACAGTAATACATTTGCTATAACACAGCCAAAAAACTCAAATAAAACCATTCTAAAAGCCTGTATCACAAAAATTTAAAAAACGCCTAGGGGTATTTGCCCACTGTACCTCCATACCAAATTTCAGGACCTTAGGCCCTAAAATGAAGAAGCTGAATCCATTTAAAAAATGGCAGGAGAAGAAGAAGAAGGAGGAGAAGAAACACCAGAAAAAGCAATATGGTTTCACCTCACCACTTCGTGGTGTGGTGAACCCATAAAAACAACAACATACTTACAATCATGCATACAGTGGAAAAGACTGCAGCAAGTTCTGTAAGATGAAAATGGTATAATTAAACTTAGCCTTTTCCCTGCTGCTTAACGCTGTAGGATACTTCAGTGTGCTAATTTAAAAGATGATTTCATTTGCTAGCTTTTTGAATTGGTGTACGAACTACAGAGATACATGTACATTGACTTTGTGTAACTAACAGTGGGGTTCATCAAGCACCACCAACTGAGACCTGTTTAAAGTTAAAACTTTTGGTCCAACACAAAAAGTTTTCTCACCTAGAGCTTTCAAACAGTCACTCTGGTCTTCCTCAGTTGACTGACCCAGTGAGGCTTGTCACGTGGCTTCTTTGAAGTGTGACTACTGAGGAAGATCAGAGTGACTGGTCGAAAGCTCTAGGTGAGAGAACTTTTTGTGTTGGACCAAAAGTTTTAACTTTAAACCTGTAACTACCAACATGAACTTTCATGATGTTTTGATCTTTTAGCCTAGCAGTTGGTGCATTGGGTTCCCAAGCTGGCAGCTGGGGTTTGATTGAACACATTTGAATATGCAATGTGCTGTAATTGTCAAGAAGTAGTTTGTATACATGATCCTGTCCTTGGTGCTGAAAACATAGTTCATAACATAGCAGTAATTGGAAATGTGAAGAATTTAACTTTCCCTTTGAATTAAATTATTGGAACATTGGCATTTTTAATGCCATTTGAATTGACAATATACCATAGTCTTTAGGCCACACCAATTTAATTTATTGGTTAATGGCTTTTTCTAGAAAAATAATGGAGTGGGTGGGCAAAAAAAAAAACAGGCCTAGGCATCCTATTATGGCCCAAAACGGTACAATAGGAGCCATGAAGTCATCACACCAGGCTGGTTTAAAATTTAAACAATGAATTTTGAACTTTTAATGATATTACTGCATTGAAAGATGGAATAACTGTAACAACTGGGAAGAAAAGGACTGTTTTCAACTGTTCTGGGCAAAATATGAGCATTTTGCAGTTGATTCTGAATTTTTTTTTTGCAAATCAGAAAAAAATGAAGCGGGCAAATTCGTTAACCAAGAATTTCATCATTATAAGGCCACATTTAATTTCAAATTAAATTGGTGTGGCCTTATAATGATGAGATTCTGCATGTATTTTGTAGGTATGTCCTTCCATGACTTGTACCAACGTTGTCGAGAGAAGTTTTTGGTCCACTCCCACCTGACTCTACGGGCACAGCTGACAGAGTTTAAGGACCACAAGCTCATCAGGACCAAGAAGGTAACAGTGATGTTTTGTTGTTAATGTTTTATCTTGTGATTTAGACCACACCAATTTGATTTGTTGTTTCTCGGATTTTTTATTTACCTTCCCTGTACATACATAGTCTTCAAAAATTATATGGGTAAAAGTAATAAATATTGTGTAATATTGTTGTTATTTACATGCATATTGTTGTTCTGATTTTTCCCCAGGGTTCAGATGGAGTGGAGAACTTGTTAATTCCCCTTGATGGAGCAATGTTAGCTGAATACATGGAGAATCCCATGTCATAGTCAAGGCAAGAATGGAGAAATGATGAAGAATGAATTTATACAATTCATTCAGAATTTGTTTATTTTCTGGAAATACACCTGTTACAGTAATGCTCAAAGCACATTGCTGTAACAAAATGTACAACATGCATTTACTGTTATGTATAGGGTATAACAGTCAGCAGAACATTATATTTATACATATGCTAGGAAATGTTTGCACTATTTTTGTTATATTATATGGTAAAGAACAATAAATTTTGTCAACTGAAGATACATACTTGATGTGCAGGCTTCATTTTTCTGTAGATAATAATTTTAGGAAGTAAGAAAAGCAAATAAAACAAGCCTGCAAGGCCCAACAAAAGTTAGGTTACGGAAAAAATCTTAGGGTTCGGGGTAAGAAAAATTATCTTGTTGCATGTATGTTATTTTTAACAATTGACTGCCATAGTATGCTCATCACCCAGGTTACTACAATGTACATTCATGCTGAAGTTATTGAATTAATGCATAAAAAATTATATAGGAAATGCATGGGTAGGGTTTGCATACTGATATCATCTTACAAAAACACCTTACACAAGGAGAATTTTGCAAAACTGATAATGTATAATTATTCATAGTGTTAAATAATCCTTAATTTTCTGAACTTTAAATTTCGGTTACCCTTGAAATGCCATTTGGCATTTGTGAGGTATAATTGGTTCTAGCACCTACTGTACTTTTACAACACTGCAAACATGTAAATTTCAACGGATTGGATCCATTTAAAACATTAGAAGAACGGATTTGATCCATTTACAACATTAAGGAGAAGACCAGTTTCAAACCCCCATGGCTTGGTTATCCCCCTGTCCACCATACATCATGTCCTGTACAGCTTTCCTCGGACCTTCCTCCATTTCCTGGGACAGCAGCTGGAAGGTGTCCCAGGCCAGCTGCTGTTGCTGTGGTCGTTGGTACATCATGAGTTCCCCGTACAGGTACACTCCCATGGCCTGGTCCTCACACAGGAATTGCTGTACGTCGCTGTACCCGGGGCGGTAGCTGTAGAGACAACAATATAACTAGAGAAGTAAGATTTGCAAAGCATATGCATAATGTTTACCTTCGGACATGGTCTGCTCTGTTCTTACTCACATTCACATACATGTACTACTAGTATATGGTGACAGGAGCAGAGCAGACCATGAAATTGCAGCATTATGTAACCCAACACCAGTCACCTAGGTGACAGACATCAACAAATCATGTCATTGGTCAGGTCAGAGGTCACTGGAGAAGAAGAAGAGGAGGAAACAGCAAAAACAAATTGAATATGTTTTCCTTCGGTAAACATAACAAGTCTAAAGATCAAAGATCCATAAATAATTCCATCAAGTAACTGGTTGATGAATGATTAAATAGCGAGGTTCTTTATTCACAACATGTTGTATGTATAATACAATCCTTTACATTTAGAACTTGCTGTATATTTCACCATAATGATTGTAACAATATCTATGCACATGTATGATAACATAACACACGTGACTCAGTGAGTAGTGGATTATAGGTACCGTTGCAGATGGTCTGTGATGTACATCAGGGCATTACAACCATCCCTCAACAGAGACGGGGGGCGCCACAGACTTTCTGCAAACCTATGATCCACTGCTCACGGAGTCACGTGTGTTATCTGTGTGACATCACGGAAGCGGTGGATTGTTCATTCCTTGACAATGACTGGAGTTGTACAGTCGAAAATTTGGGTGAGTCCAATTTATTGTGTTGGAAATTACAGTTTAAACTTGCTTCATAATATCTATGCACATGTATGTCACAATTACTTTCCATTTGGGACCGTATAATTAGCAGTAACACCTATAGCTAGTTAGCTACATGTAGCTTCAGTGCACAGTGAACCAGTAACACCTAGCTTCAGTGCAGTGAACCAGTAACACCTAGCTTCAATGCACAGTGAACCAGTAACACCTAGCTTCAGTGCACAGTGAACCAGTCATAATTGCCCTGATGAAGATGTAATCCAAATGTTGGCTCTTTCTAGACACTCAAGTGGTTGTGAATAAAAACTTGGCTATTCAAGAAATCAAAGATGTCACACCTCCTTTGTGTAGGGGTTCAATTTTATACCTTCTATTTGTAATACCGGCAGCCAAGTTTTACAAATGTATAATGAGCTCTCCATTGTTGCAACAAGTGTGGAAAAATATTTGAATGACAACAGTTAAACATGATCAATCAAGAATTTACCCATGTTTGATGACCAGCTCACACCATCGATGCCTGACGTCTGCGTTGCACCTGGACAGCCTGTAATGTTCCTCCAACTGCTGCAGGGTTACACCTGCCATGGACTTCATCTCAAGCAGCTCTTCCAGGAGGAGTACAAGCTGATCTTGTAAGAGCTCTCTCCCTGGTTCCTTAGCTCTTGAATCATGTGCACGTACTCCCCCTTCATGTATGAGTGAAGTTGTAGGGAGGTCAGATCTAAGAGGTACATCTGATTGGTTGTCATGTAACTGTCCAGAACTCTCCAACTCATTTGCATTTGGTACATCATTTCCCATTGCCTGACGTTTACATGGAGGGGAAGAAAAATTAGGTTGCGTCAACTCCTCAGTTACATCATAACGCCTTTTCCCTGCATTTTTCCCATTCTTGTTTTCTTCTCTTAGACTGTCACCAACTACATTTACTGTCTGGATCTGTCTTTGTCTTTTCTTTCTTCTCAAAGAAGTTGGGTTTCCACTTGTTCTTGCCATCTTTCTAGCTGTTCTTTCATTCTGTTTGTTCTGCCTGTCAACATTCTTACAATGCCTCAAGGTCACCCTAACCTGTTTGACCAGTCTGTTGTTAGCATTGACAGGGTTCTTCTGTAGTTGTTTGGGAAGTCCTGGACAGTCCAGCCAGTCTTGGTAGATTCCCTCCACGGTAAGACCCTGAATGAATGAATGAATATTGAATGAATGAATAAATGAATGAATGAATGAATGAATGAATGAATGAATGAATGAATGAATTTCAGGTATTTCACCCATAGAAAACAACGGTACAATTTAATATAGAAACACGAATTATACATACAGCATCTTATATACATTTTTAAAAAAGGAATTTCTGTACTGACAATCTGACATCAGAAGACATTGTATTATGCTGTTGTCGGTTTTGTTTAGCCTATCACCAAAGGAGTAGCATAATTTTCTGCGTCTGGCATCAAATGTGTCAGTAGTTTGGTGAACAAACATTATGATAGTACTTGCACTACAACATCTTGGAAACTTAAGAAGTATCCGAAAACAATTATTATATTCGATGTTTGAATTACTTTCAATTGCTAACAATTCCTTATGTATGTATGTATTATTTCATATCAATTTCATTTCATCTCAATTTATGTATACTATTGTTTTATTATTGTTATTATATCATTGCCCATGTTTGAATTATTTTGATAACAATTCCTTATGCATGTATGTATGTATTATTTCAATTCAACTATGATATAATGTTTAGTTTTAGTTAGTATAGAGGAGGAGGCCTAAGCATAAGCTAAATAAGCTTTTTCCCTCCTCCTACACCTGTTTTATATATTATTAGTGTATTATGTATAATTTTTATTGCTGTTGTGCAAATAAACAAACAAACAAACAAACAAACAAACAATATGCCACCCGACATTTGGCAAGCACACTCAAATTAACACGGTTCCATAGCTGGATGCCAAACAGTTGGGAGCAGTAAGTCCTAAATAAAGTCTTCTTCATAGCAAAAGAACAGTCACTGTGCAAAGTGCAACATTTTGTCCAAAATTAATCTGTCGGGTGTTTGTGGTAAAATTTCCTATTTAAACAGCCTACAGTTTAATTCCGAACAATTATAATTGTCCATATAAGAAGCCATATAGACAATTATGCATAACTGAAGAACTATTATGCATAACCCTTGAGCATTATGCATAATTATGCATAACCCCTCAAAGTATTTTTATGCATAATTATGTATAATTGGACGAACCCCCAGGGGGTTGCGAATGGCTGCTTACATATTTCTTACATCATTTTTACCTATGGTTTGCGATATTAGCCCATCTGGGTTTAAGGTTGCTGAGATATGGGAGGTTGTCCGGAATTAAACTGGAAGTCCGGAATTAAACTGGAGGCTGTTTTTATACAATTGGTATAGCATACAGACGTCTTATTTCAGCTCGAACACACTCATTGTCACTTAACTTAGAATTTAAACAGATGCCAACCTGAGAGGTAAGACTTGGGAAAGTCTTGAAGACAAGTTTGAAGAAGTCCTGTGAGAAGATGAGGTTCATGCCATGTCTGGGGAACTCCTGAACAAAACTCTTCAGTAGAGAGTGGAATTTGTCAGCCCCAACTTTCCTGGCAAAATACCTGTATCAAATACATAAAAATTAATAAAGAAATGCTTTGTCATGCAACATTTTTAAAGTTTTAACAAATGTATGATAAATAAAAAAATAAAATAAATCTACATATTTCATGGCGGTATGAGGTCTCCGAATACTTGTTAATGTTAACTTTGTTTTCCTTGTTGTCTTTTACATAAGAACCTTCTTCATAATTTATTCTGTGCTTTACCCAATTTCTGTTCTTGTCCATGTTCCTTTTATCCTGTCACTGAATAGTACGTTTTGAATATTACAGTGAATATTTCTGGTACAGGATGATATAGAAACAAGCACTAAGTCTTGTATTCACAGAAACCTGAGGTGAGACAGTAAATTGTTCAAGCTGCAGTTTCACAAGTGATAAATAGAGGGCACTGTTGAAAATTGGCAAATTCTGTTAAGTATTGTCTTTTCTTGTGTATCAAAATGACTGGTGAAAGCTAAAATAAAAGACGAGTTCGTAGGACACAAACCTCCGTGAAATTCTAACAATTCTAAATTTATCTGTATCTTCTATCCAATTTTAACATAATTTTTCCCTGAAACGGGGATTAGACTGACTGACTTGTATTTCCCCCCTCTAACTGAGGTGGGGGAAATACAACGTGTAAAGTGCACAACATCTGGGTGCATGTCCGGACATGTTTATTGCTGGAATAACTGCCCTTAATTTGCTAACAAAACAGCCTCATAGGCATGAAGCACAGCAGCAGCTCCTAGTCCTACATTATGACTGTGGATGACACTACTTTAAGCACAGGGGTGTCAAACTATTATGCTACAAAACAATTACTACATACTACAAAAACACTCCAAATTGGCACATTTCTTTGGGACCCCAATTGCTGACCACACACCAATTTTTTTTAAATCCATTAAAAGGGTCGCAAATTGTACAATCATGTAAGTGCAAACACACAAATACAACACAAAACAGTACCCCAATGGGAAGTGAACCTTCACAAAGCTAACAAGAAATGCTTAAAAAAAAAACCCTGGCTGGGAGCCAAGATAGGAATAGCTACTAGTAATTGGTCACCTTGGCTAACTAATTAGCCCTGATGCAAATGCAAATTTCTTGTCTCCCAAGGACAGAACACTTCAGGTCGCAGAACACAGTAATTATCTGCGACCCCCGGAGTCTATTACGTCGGGTACAAAAAATAGTACGGACAAAATCTTGTAGCGTTTGTATACATTTTAAAATGAAAGGCAGCGAGGCATGAACTTTACCGTATGGTAGTATAATGAGTTGACTTTTCAATCGTATGAGTAGGATTCTGAAGTTTGCTCGTTGAGTATATAAATGTGCCTGTCTTACACGACTGCCTTCCAGGGTGAGTCGGCTGCAGTTCCGTTGACTTGGGTAGAGGGCCAAATAAAAGAGGGCGTCATAGTGTTAAAAAACGGTAACTTTTTTTTTTGTTTTCAGTCATTTTGCAGGTTATACCCTAATTTTCAACATATTAGTTGTTCCTCTAGTGCACCCTACTATAATTTTTACTGCGTCCAAGTGAGTCACCTTGGGGGCCTTAAATATAGAAATCCCCATAGGGCGAAAACTGTGTTCTGCCACCTTAACCACACAAAAGTAGTTGTCCTGAGTGGTGGTTACCTGAGGAGGAAGTAGCCCTTGAGGTAGTGTACTTGTGTGAAGAGTTTGTCTGTGTTGAGTGCATTGGTGACGTACACAGTACCATCGCCCTGGTGGAAGCCCTGTCCTGATGCACTGGGCCTTAAGGTTTGCAGTTCCTCCTGTTGTACACATGTACAGGGTTAAAGTCTATCATGAAAGTTTATCTGTGTTGGTAGTAATCATTATAAAACGTTGAACTTTACATGTATTCCAACGCACAGTTTACAGAGAGATAAAATTTTCAGCGACCACTGTCACCTTCATCAGGATAATTAATGACCAATCACTTCACAACGTGATCTCGCGAGAGTTACGGTTTACAAACATGTGACCTTATTCACACGAGACTTTACTGATATGTGACGTAAGCTATTGATCAAAAGTGCCGGGAGTTTACATCGTCCACCATCTCTATTAAGTGAAGGCTGAAGTGCTCTGATATATATGCCATTGGCCTCCTTGATGCCTCTTAAAACTTGATCTCTCTGTAAACTTTGTGTTGGAATGAAGTTCAAAGATTTACTAGGGGTTTTTCAGGCCAGCAAAACAAACATTGTTCTGGATATCAGGAAATCTGTCTGATACTGACATTTGTTGCCATTTTCATCATCAATTCATTCTTGAAGTGTTTGAAATAGCCCAAAACTAAGCTACAAATATGTGAAAAGTCCCTTTAGGTTTTGATAAAACCAATAAATAGCTAGAATTATTCTGCAAAACAAAACAAAACAAAACAAAACAAAACAAAACAAAACAAAACAAAACAAAACAAAACAAAACAAAACAAAACAAGCCACCGTTTTCCTTCTACAACATTGCATTTGTATCTCAGTTATCTACATGTATAGTATGCTATTGGGAAAGGGTTAATTGACCAGAAAAAAATGACTGAGAGAAGACAGTTACTGTATAATTTACTGAAATCAATTTGGGTGCGTTTAAACACTTGAAACACAACACCATAAACATTGATCTACTTGGTCACCAGAGCCTTGGAATTGAGCAAGCTGCATATTTCAGATGTTCACCTGTACATGACTGTACAGCCCATGCACAGTGTGTGTGAGAAGGTTTGTTTGTTGTACACTGTCAGCAGGTTGTTATCATCCGAAGGTTAAACGAAATAAAGGTTTTGTGGTGTTGAAGATGAGATTTTAGCAAGCATTTCTCATTATGGCTTTTCACAAACACAGTATAACTATTAGGTATAAGAAATACTAGTGAGACTGCAGACTGCACTCCCAAAAATGTCTCAAATATGACTGTCTATTTACATGTAGTTTATCTCTAAAAAAAATCATTCATTAGGGCTCAAAATACCACAAGTAATACATCATACATGTATAGTGTACATGTATGTACTTACACCAACTTACAACACAATCATGTAGGCTTTTTCTAACACCTTTGAGGCAAAATAACTCTGATTAAACACAAATATCACAGTCACAGTAAGACCACACCATTGCCAGAGCCAGTCACCTGTGACGTTTGACCCTACATGACCTTGAGGTTCTGGCTTACAGGTGCATTCCTACAGGTGTCACGGATCCTGCAGGTATTCAGTAAGGGGGTCTATGATTGGTGCAGAATTTGTATCCTGAAAATACTGCAGCCAGAATAACCAACAAGAGTCACTCACTGACAGTAAACAATTGTTCATGACTAAAGTAACCAATGAGAAAGGCTGTAACAAGTGTCACTGTTCAAATATACTTTCTGAAGCCAGAGACGCCGCCATGATTCAAGGTGGAGTCAAGGAAACAGTTCTTGTCTTGAGGAAAGGTAAGCTCAGGCCAGGCAGTTATTTTACCAGATTAATAATGTATGTTAGAAAACTGAAACGTAAAAATCTTCAGCACAAAGTTGTCAAGATTGCCTTTTGTTCTGTAACTTTCAGAATCAACATGTTAGTTTCACTTTTAGGTACTTGTAATCATTACTGTGCTGTACAATGTTTGGTCACTCCCAACTCTGTACAGCTTTTCGCCAATGTGTTTGTTGTTTTTCAGAGTAATTTGATGTAATCTTTAAACCCGAATGGTGAGACACCCAGTGGGAAATGTGTTTGCAACATGTCAAAACAAGGTGAGTTCATACAATAACTGTATCTCAAAACCATGAGTTTAACAGTGAATTTATGTGAATGCCAGGTGAATTTATTTATTAATATACTGTACATAGTGCCCTAGGCTGCTGGTTAGGCAAGATTTTCACTGTCGGTGATCAGAAACTTGCAACCTTGACATGCCTTGTGCTATCATTACATTTTCAATTATCAATAGTAATACTAAGAATTCATTAATTATTGGACTTCACATTTTATATGATACTCAATAATCAGCATTTAGTGTGCCAATTACAATGACAGGGCAATTGTTGATGCAGGCAGGGTTCTTCTTTAATTGCTTTATTTAAGGCCACACCAATTTAATTTCTTGGTTAACGGATTTTTCTAGAAAAATAATGGAGCGGGCGGGTGAAAAAATATAAATAAAAACAGGCCTAGGCATCCTATTATGGCCCAAAATTGTACGATAGGAGCCATGAAGTCAACACTCCAGGCTGGTTCAAAATTTAAACAATGAATTTTGAACTTTTAATCATTATGATACCATTGCATTGAAAGATGGAATAACTGTAACAAGTAGGATGAGAAGGACTGTTTTCAACTGTTCAGGGCAAAATATGAGCATTTTGCAGTTGATTCTGAATTTTTACATTTATTTGCAAATCAGAAAAAAATGAAGCGGGCGAATCCGTTAACCAAGAAATTAAATTGGTGTGGCCTAATAATATTTTGTGTTGAATTGTTGTATTGTGAACAAGTCAGCTTGTGTTTACCCTTATCTGTCATTCTTTTACTTTGCAGGTGTTGGGAGGTATTTTGTCTTCATTAAGAACAATGTGAGCTCAGACTGGAAGGACCTGGCTTGGTGTCTGGGGTTTGCGACACCAGACATAGACAACATTGACGGCAAACGGCGAGATGACAAGTCTCGCTGTATGGAACTACTGCAGGAATGGCACAAACGGAGAGGAAACACGGCCACCATACATGTGCTGATGGAGGCACTAAAAGATGCACAGCTACAACTTGTTGTGGACAGTCTGAAGGACAAATATCCTGGTAAGAGCCTTTTCAAAATCACTTATGACAGAAAAAAAGGCAATATCTACAACGTACTCCATATGTTTCCCTTCCATTTTTTCATCTGACAGCTATATATGGCTATGTGGTCTGACTTAAGTTTGTCAATTGTAAAAAAATTGTGCATATTTACCTTGTTCATCAGATACTTTGTGATATCATTGAAAGTCTGAATTTGTACGATTTTGTACCTTTCTCAACAGAGCTAAATGAAAAGCAAAAATCACAGATGAGCAGCTTTGCACTGCTTCCAGACCTTCCTGTACATCTAAACTTGGGCGTGGTGCAGCAAGAAACTGCTGCAAGAGCGCACACTGGAGACATCGATGCCCTGGTCTCAAAGCGGCTTTTGGAACTAGAGAGAACACTATTCACCGAAGACGTGCTAAAAGACCGCAGACGTTACAAGAGAGCACAACAATCTTTCCTGTCACACAAGGCTTTTTTGTTGAAAGAAGCTGTGAAGGGATCGTTCATCCTCCTCCTGACGTTCCTGCGCCAGACTGATGTGGACAGGTTCTACCACAACCACTACAGGGTGGGGGAGGGTTCCCTGTCTCAACAACTCTCACACATCCTCATCTCAGACGACCTACAGGACAAGGTCAAGGGCGCCCAGCTGATCGTGAGGCTCCAGGTGAAGCATGAAGACTATGTGCGAGTACGAGACAGACTGGGACAAGGTGAGAACCACATGTATAACTTGTAGTTTCACAAGACCTTACAACTTGTAGTTTGAAATTCACTTTTGTCTTGCTGTTTGGCAGATAGATAACTTTCACAAATTCTAGCAAATCAAATAATGCAAATCTTAATATGGTCTCAAACATCATTAATATTCCTATTAAACAGGACTGGACCGTACCACTTCTGCTGACAACCTGCTGGCCCTGCCACCCCTCAGCAGACATGTGGACCATTCTAGCCTGAGGGGCCTAGACCTGGCTGTGATTGGTCGAGAGGACCAGCCCTGTACAGACGGGACTGATGACATCACCACACCATACAGACAAGTACAGTCAGCCGTAAGAACAACTAGAGAGAAATCCAAACAAGAGATGAAAGGTCAGCGTGAGATGATGCAAGGGCAGGTGGCAGAGGATGTAAAAATGCTGAAGGAGCAAAATGAGAAAGCTGAGAGAATCCTCCTGGAACAGAAGGAAGAAATGAAGGAGAAAATACAGCAGCTTCAGGAGACCAACAAGAGCTTGGAGGCCATAATATATGAGCTGCTGACTGCCAAGCAACCAGAGGGTGGAACTCAGCAACAGTATCCAATGCAAACCATGTTAGACCAACATTCCATGGATAACCCCACAGCAACAATTACAGAACAAGTCAGACAGTCAGTGGTTCAGCCTAAAAGGAAAGATACAAATGTCAGACCAATCAGGGTGGGACGACCATGGGTGAGGAAAGTCAGGTTTGGGGGAAGTGGATCAGGCAGGGGGGAATTTTTCTGTCCTTGGGGAGTAGCTGTCTCACAAGACAATGAGGTTTATGTTGCTGATTGGGATAACACCAGAATCCAGGTGTTCACAATGGATGGTGTTTACATCAGAGAGTTCATAACAACTCTGCCAGGGGAAACTGGGGAAATGTCATTACTACCAGAAGATGTTGCTGTAGATAGAAATGACAACCTGTGGGTGGTGAGTGGTGAACATGTAGTGCAGTATTCCAGGGAAGGTACCTGTTTGGTCATAATAGATCTGCCATATGTTGGATACCTCCGTGGCATAACTGTATCTATGGCAACAGAACAGGTGATTGTTACAGAGTATGATGGGGAGAATGGCCAACTTCAAGTGTTTAACCAAGATGGTTCTGAAGTCGGGACATGGGGTTCAGGTCAAAGCTCACCAGAGCCTTGGTGGCCACAATCTGTCACTGTAGATGGGGAGGGGAACATTCTGGTCACTGATGTCAACAATCACTGTGTCCATGTCTGGGATGGAGAGGGGAACTTCAAGTTCAATTTTGGGAGTGAGGAATCTGATGAAAGTCAGTTTAAATATCCTAGAGGCATTTGTGTTGATGGGAAGGGAAACATCATTGTGGCTGACAGTGGAAATGGTTGTGTGAAAGTGTTTGACAGTCAGGGCAGATTTCTGTGTCACATTGGTAGTGGTATGAAGCATACCTGGGCTGTTGCTGTGTCACCAGGTGGAGATGTGGTGGTGACTGATTGCGAAGATGACACTGTATCAGTCTGGACACAGGGTTAGTGCTGTATCATATACAAGGAACAGATTATTCACAACTTGAGTTGCCAAGCAAAATCTTTGGTGTTCATTGGATTATTTACAAGCAGTGTCCATTTTTCAATAAAGAATATCGGTAAAGGAATTTTGCTGCTCATTCAGACACAGAAACTCAACACATGAAATTAACACAGTGTGTGTGAAGCTTTGCTTGTTGTACAAGTCGATCATTACTATTGGGAGGTTACAAAATAAAGATTTCAAATAAATTTTTCCTTGTATGACTAATTCTTGAATATACCCCAAAGTATCTTTGTTGATAAAAATCTAAAAGAAACAAAGAACAAAACTTCATTTTCTTCAAGTTTCTTGTATGATGACAACCGGTCATGATTGACTTTTTCCAGATATATAATAAGTGATGAGAACACACTGAGTCACTTTAAGAACAAAGGACTGCATGTACCAAGTCTGTAACGGAACACAAGAGAACATTAATTTTGTACATCCCCAAAACTGTCTCCAAGTTTAGCCTGTCAGTGAGTGTCTGCCTTTTAGCTTTTGTTCGCTACCCACGGTCCGCTACTGGCCAGACTACCAAAAATGCTTTTTCTTGAAAATACCCCTGGCAAGAAAATATTTCTCAACATAAGAAAATAAGAAAAATAAGAAAAAACATTTTTGGTAGTGCAAAAAGTGGTGGATTGTGGAGAGTAGACGAAAGCTTAAATGTCTGACACTCAGGCTACTCCAAGATCATTCTAAACTACTAACTTAAAGTATAATTAATTTCTTCCAGTCTAAAACATTCAGGTTGTTCACAAACCACTCAAATTCTACTGCTGTGACAGCTATTCATGCAGCTAGTGGGGCTTTTGAGTCTAAATACCTATCTCACGACCACAGTTAGTCACAACAGCATTGACAGAGCCAGTCATCTGTTAAGTTTGACCCTACATGACCTTATTAGGGGAGTGTACTACTTTCTTACAGGAACAGTTAAAAAAAATTATTTCAACCAGGACAAAACTCCAGTCTGAGACCTTGTTGACAGGATAATTCATGAAAGATCTGTAGCCAGAAAGACCAAGAAGTGTCTGTAAAACCAGAGTAAACAATTAGAACTGGCCGTGACAAAGCAATTGTAGTACTTAGTAAACACAAATGCCTCGGCCCCTAAGGCATCGCCAACAATTAGACCTGGTCCTGACAAAACAGTTTTTTTTGTGTTACAGCAACAGAGGGCATCAACAGTAAGGTTACTCAGTTGCTCAATCTGTCGAGAACCTGTCACTTTGACCTCCAAAGGAGTTGCAGGACTTCCTGACAACCATGATCTGGCCAACCTGTGCGAGGAGTTCTCCAAGAAAACTCAGGTGGGAGGACAGAAGAACAGGTGTGGGTTTCACCCTACAAAAGAAGTAGATCTGTTCTGCCAGCAGTGTGAAGTACTTAATATTTGTAGTGAGTGTATCGGGGATGGCCACTCCGAGCATAACATCACGGGTTAAACAAGTAGCATCAAAGATAAAAGCTAACATCAGGGCACAGCTCAAGAAGGGACAACAGAGGATGGAAACCTCAACTTTCCTCAAAAACATTCAAGATGTTGGCTCATCCATTACGTATTCCAGGAAATTATGTTAAAACGGACTGGGGACATGAGGCATCCCTGTCTGACACCTACACAAACTTCAAACCATTTTGTGATCTGATTGTTAACAGTTATTGCACATTGGGTGTTCTTGTACATCTCTTCCACTTTGTTGACTATCTTCGCGTCCACACCTATTGCTCTCATCATCTTCCACAACGCTTTTCTCCAGACTGTGTCAAACGCGGATTTAAAGTTGATGAAGTGGAAGTGCAGGTTAACCTGTCTTTCTCTTGCCTTTTCTATGATTTGTCTTACCACAAATATGGCGTCTAACGTTCCCCTGCCACTTCTGAAACCAAACTGTGATTCTTTAAAGTGGGCTTCTGTTTTGGCTTGCATCCTGTGTAACAGGATTCTAAGGAAAACCTTTCCAGAAATAGATAGAAGAGCAATGGCACGGTAATTTGCTGGATCCATCTTACTGCCTTTTTTGTGCACTGGCATCACTAGCATTTTGGACCATTCTAGTGGTGGTTGCTCCTCGTTCCAAACCTTAGAGAATATCAGGTGCAACATGTCAATCATTTTCTCCCCACCTGCTTTTAGAACTTCCGCTGTTATTGCGTCATCTCCAGGAGCTTTTCTGTTTTTCATCTTTTTTATAGAGTTGATCACTTCCTCGCGGGAGATGGGAGGGCCTTGTTCTACCTCAGCTGGAGGGTTAGGAATATCATCTAAGGCCTCCTCTTGGTGCGGGAATTCCTTGTTAAGATGGTCTTTGAAATGTTCTTCCCATATACGCAACACTTCATTTGGGTTGGTGTGCTTTATGCCATTTTTGTCAATCATTACACTTATATATATAGAGAGAGGTTTTCTTGGTTTGTTCTCTAGCTCTCTATTTTTTTGAAAAGGCTATGAGTATTGTTGTTAACGTGGTCCCTTTCCATAGTTGCAACTTTGTCTTTCATTAACTTATACTTATGTTTCTTGACTTCGTTCTTCACCCGTTTGTTGTGCCAATGGTATGGGCTTTTAGCTTCTAGATCATTTGGACTACTCAACATTCTCAGCCTTGCATTCCGTCTGTCTTCACAGGCTTGTTCTACATCTGTGGGTAAGCCTTCTAGTTTTGCATGTTTCTTGAAGCCTACCACCTCTTTTGTGGCTTTGTTCGTGGCTGTTTGAAATTTTGAGTATAGCTCATTGATGTCTAGATCACCCATCTGCAGCATCCTCCCATGGCAGGGGCAGCGGCTCCGAATTCCTTCTCCACCCCTTACCCCCGCCGAATAACATGGCATCTTCTACTCTACGACCCCAGGAATATTAATATTCATGAGCTTGCCTTATTTGGCATGACCCCATTTCTGACTTGGGCGGCGAAGGGACGTCACCCTCCCCGCCGGCGACTCCGCCGCCGCCCGGTGACGAGCCCGTTAACGCGTTGGGGAGGCCGTGCGGGGCAAAGTCACCGAGTTAACACCTTCCCCGTGCTCGGCGGGATCCGCACGCAGCCTCCAGCACACGCTAGCGCCCCGCCGACGCCCGCAGCGGCCTGCATCGCAAAAGTTCTCTTCCCGAGACGACGCCATGTTTGTTTTTATTTGTCACTGAATAGCCGACATGATTGGTTCCGATAGCTAGCGCATCTCATAAATATTAATGTAAAGTGCGTTGAAGGTTTTCTCTGTGATACGTGATTGGCTGAGAGCGTGTCCCTGGAATCGGGTCGCAGAGTAGAAGATGCCATGTTATTCGGCAGGGGTAAGGGGTGGAGAAGGAATTCGGAGCCGCTGCCCCTGCCATGGGAGGATGATCTGCAGAAGAGGTTCTAAATCATTACCAATCCTGGTGGAGAAAGTATCAGCTACTTCAGGGTCTTTCAGCTTCTCAACATCATAGCGTTTAGGCATTGATTTAGGCTTCCTTTCTATTGGGGTATCCATTTTTAAGGTGGCCATGACTAGAGAGTGATCTGAACCAATGTCAGCTGAATGGTATGACCGACTGTTTTTCAGTGTACGCTTGAGTTCTTGATCCACAATAATAAAGTCAATTTGATTTCTTGTGGTACTGTTTGGAGAAATCCATGTAGCCCGTCTCAGAGGTCTATGTTAAACTTTGAAAAGGGTGTTAGATACAGCCATATCATTAACAGCGCAGAAGTTTCCAGCCTCTGGGGTTTGTGTGACTGAGCCCAAATTTTCCAATAATATTTGACATTGAACTATTATGGTCGGTACCAACTACTGCACCAACAGTAATATAATGTAATACATGTACCTCTGTGTTCTCCAGTTCAGCAGCCAGTAACCGGTATCTGATGGCAGCACGAAGGCCGGAGTACTCCTCATGATCCTTCTCTGTCCACTACACAGACAGGGATAGTTTCACAATAATGTTATCTACCTAAAGTAAGTTAGGCCACACCAGTTTAATTTGTTGTTTCTTGGATTTTTTCAGAAAGACTATGGAGATACAGGGCGAAATAAAAAAAAAAAACAAGCCAAGGCACCCCATGATAGCTGGAAATGTTACAATATGAGCCATGAAGTGAACATACCTGGCTGGTTTATAATTAAAACAATAGATTTGAACTTTTAATGAAACAAAATTGCACTGTTACATGAAAAACTTTAACAACTAGGAAGAACAGGACTTTCTTCAACCGTTGGGGCCAAAATATGTCTTTCATTGACCATTTTGCAGTTGATTTAGAACCAAAAAATTCTTTTTATTTTTGCAAATCAGAAAAAAATGGACAGGGCGAATCTGAGAAACAACAAATTAAATTAAGTGTGGCCTTAGAGGTAAGAAAAATATTTAAAAATCAGTAAAGGTACTCTCCAGTCATTTACTGTGATTTCCCTGATTGTGTCTGTCCTTGGTGCTGAAACACCTTCAGATGGTTGACATGTTACATTTTGTCAATATATAATAGTATACCTCCAACAACTTACAAACTACTAGAGATTTCTTTTATTTTATTCTTTGATGTCCAGATCCAAAGCCAGTCCTATGTAAGTCAATCCCAAAGTGTTAAAATCGAGAAATTGAGATAAGCCTGACACCAATTTGATTTGTTGCTTCTCAGATTTTTTCTGAAAAAATATGAAGCGACAGGGAAAAAAAAAACAGGCCAAGGCACCCCATGATAGCCGGAAATGTTACAATATGAGCCATCAAGTGAACATACCTGGCTGGTTTATAATTAAAACAATAGATTTTGAACTTTTAATGAACAAAATTGCATTTTTATTGGACAACTGTAAGAACTAGGAAGAAAAGGACTTTCTTCAACCGTTGGGGCCAAATTCTGTCTTTCATTAAGCATTTTGCAGTTGACTTCGAACCCCCCAATTTTTTTTTTTGCAAATCAGAAAAAAATGGACAGGGCAAATCCGAAAAAGAACAAAATTTTAAATTGGAGATGTAGCGTAAAAATCCTTTCACATAATCCTTTCTTTTTTCTAGACTTGAATTTTTAAGATTTAACTGAAGTCCTCAATAGAGACATTTAAGAACAATGCTATATATACCCAAAAAAACAAATATCACAAATTCAGCAACAGCAAGTTAAAAAAGCAGGCTACTTTTGTAGCGTGCTGTTTATTTCTTTATGTTTTATCTGACCCTTACCTCTTCCCTCATGACCTCAAACGAAAGTCAGCCTAATTTTTTTGTAGACATGCCAAAAAACTGGTGTATTCTAATGCCCATATTGCCACAAAATTAAGTTTAGTATGATCTAATTAGGTTGAGGTAGGATGAAATGGCAGAAGATTTGAATCTCAAAGGATTTCTCCAGACCTAACTTTGTTAGAGAGGATCAATTGGAAGATTAATCTAAAAGTACTACAATGTTTCTGGTCCCTTAGGCCACATCAATTTAATCTGTTGTTTCTCAGATTTTTTTCAGAAAAAAATGAAGCGACAGGGTGAAATAAAAAAAAGCAAAAAAACAGGCCAAGGCACCCCATGGTAGCCGGAAATGTTAAGATATGCCTAGTAAAGATCACGGATATGGATGAGATATGACATAAAATGGGGATACTCGTAATGAGACCGTGCGAGTAGGAGAGTCTTCGGTAGCAGGTAGGACGATAGAAAGTACGTCATTTTCTCTAATTCCAACAAAAATGCAATTATGGCATGTGCTTTATGCTAGATAAATAATTCAAAACAATAGTTGACCAGTTTGTCGATAGAACTTGTTGGAAATATTACATAGAGGAAGGGGGAAGGGTGGTCATGGGTCATATCCGTGACCTTTACTAGGCAGTATGGGAAGTTTGAAATTGGTGAATAGATTTTGAACTTTTAATGAAACAAAGTTGCATTGATACATTTAAAAACTTAAACAAGCAGGCAGGAAGAAAAGGACTTGGGGCCAAAATATGTCTTCCATTGAGCATTTTGCAGTTGATTTAGAACCTAAATTTTTTTTTTTTTGCAGATCAGAAAAAAATGGACAGGGTGAACCCGAGAAACAACAAATTAAATTGGTGTGGCCTTAGCTGCAAGTTATAAGCTTCTCATGAATAATAAATATCAAATCAAACAAATACTTACCCCCATAGCCTTGGCATGGATACAGTCCTCCAGGTATGTTGCGAAACCCTCGCTGATCCATTCTTCTGTCCAGTCACGGGAGCCAATCAGGAGGCCGAACCAGGAGTGAGCGATCTCGTGCGCCAGACGCAGGCACATGCTGCCGTCACCCGCGAGCAGCGACTGGGACACCAGCATCAGGTGGGGACTACAAAAACACAAAAATTTGATTCTTTCTAAATACTACATCATTATGTTTACCGAAGGAAAACATATTGTTTTTGCTCAGTTTCTTCTTCCTCTTCTCCAAACAGTGACCTATGACCTGACCAATAACATGATTTGTTGACATCTGTCACCATGGTGACTGGTGTTGGGTTACATAATGTTGCAATTTCATGGTCTGCTCTGCTCCTGTCACCATATACTCGTAGTACATGTATGTGAATGTGTTTGAGTAAGAATTAACAGAGCAAACCATATGCGAAGGTAAACATTATGCAATGTGCCTTGCAAATGTTACCTCTCTAGTTGATTAATTTGATTGCCTTTGGTCTGACAACAAGAAAAGAGAATTTGCCAATTTTCAACAGCGCCCTCTGTTTATCACTTGTGAAACTGCAGCTTGAACAATTTACTGTCTCACCTAAGATTTCTGTGAATACAAGTCAGTACAAACAAGTGCTTGTTTCTATATCATACTGTATCAGAAATATTCACTGTAATATTCAAAACGTACTATTCAGTCAGGATAAAAGGAAAATGGACAAGAACAGGAATACAGTAAAGCACAGAAGAAATTATGAAGAAGGCTCTTATGTACCTATACACCAAAAATGATGAAACTACGTTGTTCCTTTATTGACTTATCTTCTTTAAAAGCTTTTACCAGGAACTAACCTGCAGTTCCAGAAAAAGCTGCTAGGGGAACAAAACTTACACTACTTATTCCTGACAGGAAAAGCTATCTGTCACCAAAAATCCAAGACCATAAGTTCTGCTGTAGTACCAAGGTTAGCCACCAGGAGGCCAATATCTGACCTTGACCTTTGTCTTCCTAAGACCTACCAAGTTATGCTGACTACAAATGTGTGGAAACACAAACACACAGACACACACACACACATTCGTTCTGAAGTTATGCTGACTACAAATGTGTGGAAACACAAACACACAGAAAGACACACACACACACACACACACACACACACACAGAGACAGACATGCCAAAAACAATACCTCCATTTTTCATGGAGGTAGCAACTGTATAAGGACTCACCTGGCCAACCCTAGGCTGGCAAAGCATCTTGGGACCACGAGCACATCTAGCCTGGGTAGAGGGTGAGGTCCCAGGACGTCATAGGCAGCGGCCAGATACTTCTCTATCAACGGGAGAAACTCCCTCCCTGCCTGCTGTACATGTATGGACGGGGCAAACACTCGGTGGGGAATGACTCTCACAGGGTCACATTTACAACGTGACCTCTGATGGTGACTGTGTTTCTCTTGCTGACAGACTTGTTCTGGGATTTGACTTACGTGGTCCATACCACTATGATCAACATGTTGTTCTACTGGTTCAACAGTCACTTGGACAGAAGGCAACGTACATGTAGGTGGGTTGATACTTTCTTCATGCTGTGAAGTGTTGTCTGCATCAAACTGCTTTGGTGGGGCAACCTCACAATAATTCTCACCCTGGTTAGGTTGAGGGTAATCTACCATTTCCTGTGCATTTCCTGAATGAACAGAAGGTTGCAGACCATGATTATGCTTCTGTGTTGTGCTCCCTTCTGAGGAAGCCTGGAGCCAGTAGCCCACAGCGAGGGCCAGAGTAGAACATGGCATCGGCATGGTGACGTAGAAATAGTGGTGGTCTCTGGCAGCTACTTCTGAACAAGCACCTGTGTCAGCCGGTTGCTTAGCAACATCAAATTGCTTAGCAACAGATGCCACGCCTTCATGCATTTGCTCATGATCACTGAATGATGTCAATTCATTTGCAAGTGGCAGATCCATGGAAGCAAACTGTACTTCCTGAGCTGAGTTTGTTTGCTTGGTAACTAGTGTTCCTTCATTTGGTTGCTTAGTGACAGCATCTGGTTGCTTAGCGACAGCATCTGGTTGCGTAGTGACAGCATCTGGTTGCTTAGCAACAGCATCTGGTTGCTTAGCGACAGAAACTGGTTGCTTAGCAACAGCATCTGGTTGCTTAGTGACAGCATCTGGTTGCCTAGCGACAGCATCTGGTTGCTTAGCAACAGCATCTGGTTGCCAAGTGGCATCTTCAGGTTGCCATAGCGACCCAGGCCCTGTTTGCTTGGCAATTAGTGTTCCTTCATCTGGTTGCTTAGCAACAGCATCTGGTTGCTTAGCGACAGCATCTGGTTGCTTAGCGACAGCATCTGGTTGCCAAGCGGCATCTTCAGGTTGCCATAGCGCCCCAGGCTCTGTTTGCTTGGCAACTAGTATTCCTTCATCTGGTTGCTTAGCAACAGCATCTAGTTGCCATGGCGCCCCAGGCTCCTCCCCACTCATAAGTGTTCCTTCGTCTGGTTGCTTAGCAATAGCATCTGGTTGGCATGGTGCCCCAGGCTCCTCCCCACTCATGAGGACCGTGGTGCCGTGTGGAGAGTGGATGACGGCCTGCCATGTTGCCATGGTGAGGAAGTCATGACAGGGGAACAGGGAGCGGTTGTTGATACAGGAACCTTGGGTAAAAACACACGGCCTGGCAAAAAAAAAGAAATAGTGCTTAAAGACCAAATGACAAAAAAAAATCTGTAAAATAGTATTACAAATATTGGAAGTGTACAACAAACTTCATATGACTATATTATACATGTCATGTACATACAATATAATCACTTGAAGTTTGTTCCAATCATGATTGAGCTTGTATGGCTTTCTACATGTAGAAGTGACTTTTTGGAAATTCTCTGGCAAGCTTCCCAATCGCCCACTTCGGGCATCTCTTTTTGCATCTCTACATTTTATTTTTGCATTTCTGCGCTTTTTCCTGAGCTGACATCACTGGGTGACATCAGCTTAGGAAAAAATACAGATATATATAATATTATGCAAAAATAAAATGTAGAGATGCAAATCGCCTGCCCCCAGCCAGTACTGGCTTGTGCTGACTTTTCCAAGGCAGGGCATTAGAATTTCGAATGTAACAGGAGAACCATGCATATTTATTGTAAATGTGTCTGTTAGCCAGCTAATACTAGTTATGTCAATTACAATCAGCTATATAATAAGTCATATTTTGGTGTCATGAGCACTTTAACCATAAATGAAAACTTCAAAATAAAAACAAAATTCATGCGCTTGCGGATGTCATCCATATAATCAAATCAACATGGCCTTAAAACGTCATGTAGGTCCTTGTATAAACAAATGGTTGTGAATAAAGAACTCTCTTTACAAAAGAAGCCTATTAGTAATTATAACCTACTTCCCATCCTGGTCTGTGACCCATGTAAGGGACCCTCCCCCCGGGGTGGTTCTGTACTTGATGCGCACCACCCTGGGGAAGCTCTCCCTGCCCCTCACCCCCTCCCTCCAGACACGCACACACCAGGGCTCCACTCTGTGATGCAGGGGTCTTCCTGACGGACTGTTGTGGGCTCTCATCAAAGCAGCAAACACCTCTTTAGCCTCTTTCTTGTTGGCTGTAGGATCAAGTTCAGGAACACAGTATCCCCTTCTGGAGTCCTCTTCAAATAAAGGATCAAGTTCAGGAACACAGTATCCCCTTCTGGAGTCCTCTTCAAATAAAGGAGCAAGTTCAGGAACACAGTATCCCCTTCTGGAGTCCTCTTCAAATAAAGGATCAAATTCAGGAACACAGTATCCCCTTTTGGAGTCCTCTTCAAATGCTTCAAAATTAGATTCCTCATCCCTTGACACTTCTTTCAAATCGCTGCCCAATTCAAATTGTAAAACGGATTTCTTGGATTCTGAATAGTCATGATCATTGCGGAACTCCTCTTCAACATTTGTGTTTTTTCCAGGTGTAGCAGTCAGTGTAACTGTCCTGCAATTTTGGGCACCACTCTTATTGTTGTAGCAGTAGCTGTGATCAACGTGCATTTCTGCCCACCCTATACTTTCGCATTCTACGTTTGCTTTGCTATCTTGCACAGAATTTTGTTTCGAGTCTGCCTTAAGCCTTGAGAAGATTTCAAAAGTGTCATGTCTTCCACTATCTTCTCGTGATGACAAGACATCACCCTTGTGTCTAGCCCTTGAACATGTTTTGCCTGAAATATTTTCTAGCCTCCCAGCTTTCTTTGTCATCATATCTTGAGTAAGGTGAGCCATGTGGACCTCTTCAACATGAAGAATGTCAATATCACAGCAGTCAAGAATTAACTCAAAATTCCCATGAGTTTCGCTATTTGATGGACAGCTGTCTTCATCTGCTCTAAATCTGGAATCATTAAGTAGTGTAACATCACTTCCATTCTTGTCTCTTTCACCATCACCAGTAGCATAGCTACATGTTTCAAAATTTGTTCCTTGTTGGTCAGATGAACTAGTACCAACTTCTTCTGTCCATGCATCAGATTTGGTGGCTGAATTTTCCTCGCTTTGAGTGTTGGTTTTTGGGCTTGGTTTGGCAGAGAAAGTGCTGCTACCATCAGATGTGGCACTTTCACAACCACTTAGTCTAGAACCATCTTTGTTTCTTTGTTTGTTGCTACTCAGTTTTTCATCTTTGTACATGTGTGCATCAGATTTGGTGACTGAATTTTTCTCGCTAGTGTTGGTTTCTGGTTTTGGTCTGGCAGAGAAAGTGCTGCTACCATCACATGCAAGTGTTTCACAACCACTAGAACCATCTTTGTTTCTCACACCATCGCTATTTAGCTGTTCATGTGTGTGTGTATGAGAACTTGACTCTTCATCTTTCTTGATGACATCTTTGTTTCTTTGTTTGTTGCTGCTCAGTTTTTTATGTTTGTGTGTTTGAAAACTTGACTCTTCATCTTTCTTGATGATATCTTTGTTTCTTTGTTTGTTGCTGCTCAGTTTTTCATGTTTGTGTGTTTGAAAACTTGAGTCTTCATCTTTCTTGACAAAATCTGAGCCGCGTATCTGTCTATAGGAGGGTTTGAGGAACAGAGTAATGACTCCGTGGATGACCTTCTGATCCATGTCGACGTCAAGGTCAAGTATGAAGTGGTGGGCGGTGACCTCATGGCTGTTGCCCATCAGGGGAAGGTCATTACCAAGTTCCCTCATTCTTCCTTCAAGATGTGGGCTTCTGTTAACAAAAAGGAAATAAGAAACATAATATGAAGGATTGATCCTTAGTATCATTACTAGACTAAGTAAATCTATTAGTCATTTAGTTCTTCATCAAAGAATCAAGATTGCAAAGTTCTACATTCCAGATATTTTACATTTGATTCAATATTTTTCAATAAGGCCACACCAATTTAATTTGTTGTTTCTCAAATTCGCCCTGTCCATTTTTTTCTGATTTACAAAAAAAAAAAGGTTTTTGTTCTAAATCAACAGAATGCTCAATGAAAGACATATTTTGAAGAGAGTCCTTTTCTTCCTAGTTCTTAATGTTTTTCAATGTAACAATGCAATTTTGTTTCATTAAAACTTCAAAATCTATCGTTTTAATTATAAACCAGCCTGGTATGTTCACTTAATGGCTCATATTGTAACATTTCCGGCTATCATGGGGTGCCTTGGCCTGTTTTTTTATAATAATTATTTTGCCCTGTCACTTCATATTTTTTCTGAAAAAATCCGAGAAACAACAAATTAAATTGGTGTGGCCTAAATTTCTTTTTTTTGTAATACTATGTAGCTTGCTTAATATATCAGATTCTGTTTTATGCATTTTAAATGGCAAATTTCAAATGGATTCATCTTATATTAAGTTTTGGTTGTATTGTTGATAAACTTGAAGTTAGACAGCTACACTTTTGTCCTTTTATATGGACAGAATGCGGTTGATTTTTTTCATTCCGTTTGCTTCGAAATTCCGAATTAAAGCTGCAAAGATCTTTTGAGCTCTGTTAATCCAGCTAAATTCTTCTCCCTGCTCAGAATCTAAGCTTCTATCCCACCTCAGGGCTCGAAATTAACATTGTCCCAGTGTCAAATGACACTAAATTTTCAGCTTGGGACAATTCAAATTACGTTTCGGGACAACTTTGGGGCAATCGGAAAATTCTAAGACCATCCACGTCATTTGGGAACGGGATCCATCCATCCTGCTGCAGACTGCTGGCAGCCTATAAATATATAATACTCTGACAAACATTTAAATTTGACCAATCAGGGATTCCAAATATCAGGGACGGTGCCATGCCCATGATATTATCATGTATTTCCCTACATTTACTAATAAAGTGGACTTCAAGTTGTACAAATTCAGTTGTTGTTTTCTTATTTTTGTCATCAACTTATTTCCTGAAAAGCAGGCTGGGACAGTCCATCTTCAGTTCGGGCCAATTGAAATCTATGTTCGGGACAATTCTGGGACAATAGTGAAAAAAGTTAATTTCGAGGCCTGCACCTTCGCCAAGAAGGTTATGTTTTCAGAGGCGTTCGTGTATGTGTGTGTGTGTGTGTGTGTGTGTAAACACGATAACTTGAGAAGGCTTAAATGGACTGACTTGATATTTGGTAGGTGGGTAGGTCTTGATGAGACCTACAAAATGATTAGATTTTGGGCCCCCTGGCGGCTTGTCATGGTACTGCAGCAGAACTTCCGGTTTTGATATCTCATGATCCAGACATGCTAGGGTGACGAAATTTAGATGGTAGATAGCTCTTGTGCTGGGGATGAAGTGACATGAGTATGAGCCCCCTAGTTGCTTGCTCTAGAACTGCAGGGGGGTTTAAAGGACAAATGTTTAAAAGAGGATAACTCAAGAACCGATTGATGGATCATCGTGATTTTTGGTATGTAGGTAGCTTAAGTGATGCTTGACATAATGATATTACAATTATGCAAATATTGATGTAATTTGCATAATTAATGAGGAAATTCTATAAATCAGCTGCATTCCATGATAGGAAGTTCAAGCTTGTAACATATGTTATTAAGAACGAGAGAAACACAGGCAAATATCGATTATGCAAATGAAGACTTAATTTGCATAATTAATAAGAAAATGTTATAATTGCATAGTGGTAACTGCCTGGAGTTTCATACTTGGGGTGTTTGAAAGTTAAGTGAAGGTGAACATAATTAAACATAACTTATTCAAATAAGGACCACATTTGCATAATTTATGAGAAAATGGCATTCTTTGTTAAGATAAGACTGTCTTTTGGTGGAGAATATGATCAACAGACTGATATAATTCATGCAATTGAGGATCCTATTTGCATAATCTGGGTGATTAGTATATTTCTTATTCATAAAGGCTAACATCATTTGGCGAAGGTATGAGATCGTGGAACTCTAGTTAAGATTGACACAATAAACCTCCCCTACTTAAATGTTTACACTTAATACATATTTTATCAGCATGGTTGCTTTGATGAGTGTAAAATTTCATGAGCCTTTAAATTTCAGAAAATTACACTGGGCCACAGCAAGTAAATTTTATGGATGACATCCTCCACAGACTCCAAGTCTAATGCAAGCGGGCGAAAAAAAAACAAGGTTCCTATGATTTAACATTTTGACTCAATCATTGTACAAATGGTTTTGATTCAGTGGGAATATCACATAAAAAAATTATACACAGCCAACATCTCACATCACTGCATCAAACTGAAAGTAAGCAACAAAACATTAAATCAGAGCCTTTTCTTGTCTCCTCTCTTCATAGTTATCTGTCATCCACCTTCCGGCAAGGCTACAGACATCTGTCAGAAGGCAAAAAAAATGTTTTCTTCTTTCAAAATCAGGTGAAAATTAATGTGCGTGCTAATGTCATCCATAAAAATTACTTGCTGTGGCCTTGGTGCATAAACACTGTAACCAGATACTATATATATCTATATTATATTATATACTATTAGCTGGTATAAGCACCCTTCAGTGTACATACAGCTGGCTCAAATGTCTCACATACTGGTGCCGCATGATACCACTTTGGAACTATTTTGAGGCCAAGCTTTTTAAAGCAAGGGAGGCATGTGCCTGAGAGCCATGGGTGTTCCCAGATTGTCTTGGGTGTGTTTACTATGTTTCCAGGCAACTGTGTCCACTGTTACAGGATCAGGTACACTGTCAATTGTTTTGAGTTCGCAGGAACTTCATTTCATAGTAGAGGGATAAGGCATGTTTAGTATTATATAATTATACTGTGTTTTAAGTTCAAGGTTTCACCATAGCATAATATTCATGACACAAACATAAATTTCAAGCCAAAGCAAATATTTTGGTACCGAGTATTTACAGTAAGGCCATCCGTGTGCGCATCGATTTTCGCCTGTTCTAAAAAACAAAGGTCCTGGATCACATTCTCCGAGGACCTGGCCTAGCTCTAGGCCTGGGTAGTCCATGGTAGTTAGTGACAATATGGAGCCGGGCACCCAGGCTACTGAAGCTCCACGACTCAAGAACTCAGTACATACGTATCGTGCCGATTCATAAATTCTGCAAAAAGCCAGCATGTGCTGGCTTGTCGTATACGTCGCTAAGTACTGCCAAAAATTCACAATACCAGCTTTGTATTGCTGTGGTTTAGTAGCATTTTTATTTTTGGAATTTTTTTTATTCACCTGCCCGAACTAATTTGGGGGTATTCAGGGGATGTCATCCATAAAATTAAGGCGGTGTGGCCTAAAACTGTGTTTCACCATGCATGCATAGCATAATACTCATGACAAAAACATAAAACCAAAACAAATATTTTGGTACCGACTATTTACAGTAAAACATATTATTAACAGATGACATGATCCACGTTTCAGTTGGGTAAATACATGTACCTTTCAATCATGATTCAATTTCAATCTAATTTCTTTACCCATACTTCACATATAGTGATTGGATGTGACATAATTAATGTAGTCTGTTAAACTTTTTTTTCTGCTATTAAAAGTCTAACACCATCCAATTAAAGTTTGGAATTTCAATTTTCCCATTTTGACAAGTGCTAATTAAATATATTTCCAATATCAAAACATTTAGATGAAGATTTTTAAAACATACATGTTGTAATTGACAAGTATGATGTACAGTTATGGATTATGATCATAACTTCATGAATACTCAATTTGAGAATTTTGCAGAAATACAGTGTGCATGTAATATTTCCTGCAGGAATTTCTGCAAGAATGACCCAGGCCTATAGCTACATGTAGAACCAATGACCACAGGATATGAGTTCTATTATGCATTAAATTCTTTTTACAACTGTTAGGCCACACTAATTTGATTTCTTGATTAACGGATTTTTGAAAAAAAAATAATGGAGCGGGCGGGCGAAAAAATAATATTAAATAAAAACAGGCCTAGATATCCTGTTATGGCCCAAAATGGTCGATAGGAGCCATGAAGTCAATATACCAGGCTGGTTCAAATCAAAATTTAAACTTTTAATGATACCACTGCATTGAAAGATGGAATAACTGTAACAACTACTAGTAGGAAGAAAAGGAAGTTGATTTCAACTGTTCAGGGCAAAATATGAGCATTTTGCAGTTGATTCTAAATTTTTATAATTTTTATTTGCAAATCAAAAAAAAAATGAAGCGGGCGAATCCGTTAATCAAGAAATTGGTGTGGCCTTAAAGAAAAAAGCGTGACAGCGTATTCAGTATAACGTCTAACATGTTTTTATTTACGATTCACTGATGAAAAATAAATAAGTTGTTTTCAAGCACTATACGTCATTATCTCAGTGTGAAATTACATTCAATAATTACATGTAACACAAACAAAAATACCAGAGTCTGACCCATGTGAAAAGGTTCACCCCAAAAATGCACCCTTAAGGCTTGTTGTCTACGCATGTTCCATTGTTATTGTCTATAGTGGACAGGGCGTGTCAGTGTCATCACGCAACACAGCTCTCTGTCTTATAATTAGTTGTTATTGACAGGGTCTCAGGTCTTGTGTTTGTTTCAAGGTTTCTTCAAGGTGTATCTTGGTGAGTCCAAGTCTTTTTGTTGTATAAGAATATTCTTCTCAATATGAAATAGGCTCTGAATTCTTAGACCGGTAAGAATAACAACCCCTTATAGAAATATTGAAGATTTTATCAGTTTATGATACAGTTATTGCCAGGTAAACTTTCCATACCTATATGTAACGATTACTACTGTAACATTATCTAATACTACATATTTTTGGGAATGCATATTGAAAGTTTTTTTTTTTTTTATCTGACAAACTACATTAATTAAAACTGAAAAAAATCTGTTTCTTCTTAACCCTTCATCTAAAACGCCTGAAAATTTTAAATTTGGAAAAAACTTCCTTGCCTGTCATCATACATGTACATGAGCCATTTTGCACCATTTATTTGAGCATATAAGAGAGTTTGATCTTTTTTTTTATCTGCCACAGATTATGTTGTTGTTACTGCAAAGTCAGAAATTCTAAGGTCATTGAAGTGCCCCATCCCCTAAGGCCACACCGACTTAAATCTATGGATGACATCCGCGCGCTCATTGATTTTTGTCTGTTCTCAAAAAAATAATAATAATAATAATAATCCACTAAGACTCAGGCCTGGCGCTAGGCCTGGGTAGTCCATGGTAGGTAGTGACAATACGGAGCCGGGCTCCCAGGCTACCGATGCTCTATGACTCAGACCTCAGTACATACGTAAAGTGCCGATTCATGAATCATGAAAAAGCCAGCATGTGTCGGCTTGTCGTATACGCCGCTATGTACTGCTGCAAATTTACAATACCAGCTTTGTATTCCAGACCTGTGGTTTAGTAGCATTTTTACTTTTTTGGTCAGAATTTTTTTTATTCCCTCACGCGCACTAGTTTTTGGGTCTTCAGAGGATGTCATCCATAAAATTAAGTCAGTGTGGCCTTATTTGAGCATAAGACAGCTTGATTTTTTTTATACACCACAGATTATGTTGTTGTTACTGCAAAGTCTGAGGTCATTGAGGTGTCCCATCCCCTAAGGTACATTTAAGGTAGTTACAGCCAAAGGCAATGTCAGTCTGACATGATAATTATCTAGTCCAACCACCCTCTTATCTGTGAAAAAACAATGTTCCAGACAAGACAAGACTTACAATCTTCTTGGATTGTTGAAGACGCAAGGTTATCAACTTAAGTTGATATCTCTCTGTATAACGGTCAGTTACTTTGAAATTCCTTTTACTTGTAGAGGTCTACTTATTAATTATCAGCCTATAGGCATATGTTAGTGTAGAATAAGACTTAGTACAATGACAGACAGGGAAGCTCGTACCAACAGCATGACTATATACCCTGACTTGCATACATTGTAATAATGTAACAACTGATCATGTCAGAGGTTGGGTAGTAATATTGGCATTTACACTTTGACTTGCGGTGGGGATCAGGATGACACTAATTTGTCTTTATTACTAATAATCAACTGAGCAGGGAAAACATTAATTTGCCTTGAATCAATATGAACGTGAGGGCTGGAAGTAGTACCTGCATATAATTATGCAGGGTAAAATTGGAGCTGTGCAGGTATTTCTGATGCCTATCTGTACCCTGTACTGGTCTATGTAATGGGTTTATATGGCATTGTGTGACATAATATGATGTATTGTAGATTTTCATTTGCTGCATTGATAATTACCACTTATGGAGTGTAGAATAAATAATGGTAAATGAACAGGTTTTTAAGTGTTTTCTAAATTCTGAGTGGTAAATTTTGTCTGGTGCAGGTAAATTTCATTATCAGTATTAAGCCTTGGTCACAACCCACCGTACGTGCATCTGCGTGCTGTCTACGTGCAAAAACGTGGGCAAATGTAGGGCATCCGTGCGTGGTGAGTACCGCCTCCATACAGAATCCCACGGATTTGGGAGCATGCAGACACGCCATAGAACTTTAAGTGCATGTAAAACTTTTTCTGCGTGCGGTCTACGGATTCACCACCCTTGCGTGCAAGTACGGGCGACGCGTGTGCCCCGTACGTACCGTATGGAAGAAGCACTTGTGAGTACAGCCTCCTTACGGTAAAGTTGCAATCGCACAGAGATTGTACATTGTAAGCACGTACAACTCACTTACCACTTGCACAACAAACAATGCACGCAACCGCTCACGGCCAGACGTGGCGTGCAGACCACACTCTTACACCTTGCGCAACCGTGCCCCAGGTTTTCATAAAAACTTAGCAGACATGGCCTCCCAATAAAACATGCAGACAAAAAGCATGTACGGCGGGTTGTGACCAGGGCTTTAGTGACCTGCATCAGTGCAGGTATGCAGAAAAAAGGATTTCAAGCCCCAATTAACAAGCTTCTGACATTATTCCTGCTCTCTGCTGAAGAAGGTATATATCATGAATATATCCAACTCTAATTCCAACTCTAATCATTACGACATTAGTCCTCCGGATAGACCATACATTAATTTTCACTATTATAAGTCAGTACATCTGAAACTTACAGAAGCCCTAGACATGTACGGTCATGTATTACAGGTACAGTACATGCATACACAGTCTAATTGCACCCGAAGGTCATTTTTGTTTTGCTGAATTGTCCTATCATTATATCTCTACATAGATCTATGTAGTACTAGTATTAACTGTACCCAAATAGACTTGGACTCAATTCAAGACATTTTTTTACAATTTTGTCAAATAACTTTAACACTTTCTGCTGGTCAAATTAGAAGGAAAATTTCAGTATTCCACCACATTGAAGCAAGCTTGAAGGGTTTAAAAAGGTCTAAGGTTAAAATCTGGGTTCTAAAAGGTGGTACTTCAAAGTTCCCTTCTTTAGCAATCGTAAACAGCCCATTTACAGGGGCCTGCATGGGGGGACCCGAAAACGCTCAACGCTAAATTTTAAGAGCTTTCGATTACGTTAAATTCCAAGTGGCTACAATGCATTACGTGGAATTAAAATGGCGAATACGCTTTACGCAAAATGTGCCAATTACGCTCTACGTTGAATTAGAGCGGTCTGTCTACACTCTACGTAGAATTAAAACGGCCGATTATGCTCTACGGAAAAGGGCATGCGGGCCACCATTTACCCTTGAGCCCTCTCCCCTCTTAACTTTAGCATCATGACAGTTGTCAGTAGTGATGGGGTTCTGTCAACGCAGTAAATTTTGTGGTGATTTTAGGACCGGACATTAAGCTGTGGTCCACAGTTCATTGTGCTTGTCAAAATTAGAGCTAGGGGAATTTCCCTGGTACAATGAACCTGTAAATAATGTACATAGCATCTGTCTTCTCTGTCACGACTAGTGGAAGATTAGCTCTTCAGTGATCTAAAACAGATCACCAAGGCCACACCAATTTAATTTGTTGTTTCTTGCATCGCCCTGTCCATTTTTTTCTGAATTTTGCAAAAAAAAAAAAAAATTTTTTTTGGTTCTACATAAACTGCAAAATGCTCAATGAAAGAGTTTGACATATTTTGGCCCCAACGGTTGAAAAAAGTCCTTTTCTTCCTAGTTCTTAAGTTTTTCAATGTAACAATGCAACTTTGTTTCATTAAACGTTCGAAGTCTATTGTTGTCATCAAAAGTTCAAAATCCATAATTTTAATAATTATTACAAACCAGCCTGATATGTTCATTTCATGGCTCATACTGACTAACATTTCCGGCTATCATGGGGTGCCTTGGCCTGTTTTTTTTTATTATTTCACCGTCGCTTCGTATTTTTTCTGAAAAAATCTGAGAAACAACAAATTAAATTGGTGTGGCCTAATCTGGAGACTCCTTTCTTCCCTGACATTACATTAAATTTTCATTGTTCTTTCTTTCAGACACAATGTCCAGCCTTCTGACAAGAGTACTGCTCCTCCTGCTGTTCATACTTGAAGATTTGCAGACAACAGGAGCCTCCTGCGACTGTTCAGCTTCAACCTGCCGCTGTGGAGGACTCAGCCTTACCACGATACCACAGGACCTGCCAACATCCATAACCTCCCTGTACATGGAATACAACAACATCACAGAACTACGCATGCCAGATTTCTCAAGATACAGAAACTTGTCCAGTCTCTCCCTCCCCGACAATCACTTGTTTGTGATCAGGAGTCGTGCGTTCTACCACCTCACGAACTTAACGTCCATAGACCTTCGCTGGAACAAGTTGACCAGTCTGAAAGCTGACACGTTTGTGGGGCTTGGTGGGCTACAGGCACTGAATCTGGACTACAATAACATCAGCAGTATTGATGAAGGAACTTTCAGTGAAACCCCCAAACTCGTTCACTTGCTTCTTGGATCAAACAGGCTGACGTCAATCTCACCAGGCAGTTTTACCGGTCTAAACCAGCTCCAACTCTTAGATCTGTTCTCCAATCAGATAACGTACATTCAACCTGGAACATTCTCAAACCTTCCCCAGCTTAAACACCTGTACTTGTATCAAAACAGAATAACTAACATACATCAGCATTCATTCTCAAATCTACCCCAACTCCAGCTTTTGTCCCTGTTCTCCAACAAGATAACAGAGATTCGGTTGGGTACATTCACAGATCTGCCCCGACTCCAAGAGTTGGATCTAGACTTTAACCACATAACTAACATTCAGTCTGGTGCATTTTCCAACCTATCACAGCTTGAGTACTTGGGACTGGGCCACAACCAGATGAAAGTACCCTTACTAACAACTATCTGTCATGAACTATCGTCTGTCCCAACTCTAATTCTTACCAACAACCCCTGGCAGTGTGACTGTAGAATAGTCTCCTTAAATCTACAAGATCAAACATGTCAGTCTTGTCCACGTGAAATCATGGACCAGATTATTTGTACCGAACCTGCCAAATTCCGCACACAAAAGCTGAAAGACATCAACGTTGCAGATCTCAATTGTACAGAGACCTCAAAGGCCAATTCTGCAACTAGTGCAAGTCACCTGCAACATTCTCCCAACATGTTAACATTGTATTTATTATTGTCAGTGCTAGCACTATTGCTGGAAACTTAATTATTTCTCTCTACTAGTATATAGATATTATAAAGCTCCAAGTTTGGTGTAAACTTCAACAACTGGGCTAGACTAGGCTGGTGGTCCTGTACCTAATTAGCCAAATTTGGAAAACGTTGCCAGTATCACAAATATTATTTATATATACTAGTAATATAAGTCTAACTTGTAAGTGACTATATACTCTAAATAGTATTACGTACGTATATACCCACCTAAAATTGCAGAAAAATCATACTGAATAACTTGCAAGGTGGCATGCAGGTTCCAAGCAAAGGCCAGTATACTACAGGTTTGTGTCTGAATGAACAAAACAGACAATATTGCAAGCCTTTAATATACTTTGGGGATGGTTATGATACTATAATTACAACTACAAAATGTACAGTGAACTGAGGCACTATATATATAGTTTACCGATAATGTTCTATACAACAAGTATAAGACAAGTATTCATAAGAGAAATACTTCACTCAATCATTCATTCACTCATTCACTCACTCCCTCACCCACCCACCCACTCACTCACTCACTCACTCACTCACTCACTCACTCACTCACTCACTCACTCACTCACTCACTCACTCACTCACTCACTCACTCATTCATTCCACTAGGTTGGAAATAACCACCTGTAAGATTGTAGATACATTTTACTATTATATATATCTATATCTAGGCCAATATACTAGTAATGATATTTAGGCCAAAGTTTGACTCCATAATAACTTCTGTAATTGTCACAGTATGTATTAGTGTTTAGCCAATGTATAACTGATTTTGTTGTCTTGATTCTGGAGTTTATAACCTCCAGTCAATTGTGTATATCAGGTAATGTTAAGATTTACAATAGGTTGTACATAATTGTAATATATTTATATATTGAGTCTTTCATACAGATACATGTACATATCATTTTTATTGTACAACCTAATGATTTTATATTTCCTCAAAAATAATAAACTGCATCATATGAAACCTGAGTCTAATGTTGTCAATGTACTATATTCATTTATTTATTTATTGTTATGATCAACTTTGCAGGTTATACTGAATGTTTTGTTGTTGACACTCAAGGTTGTAAATCTGACTGATTTCTAAAATCTACATAAAAAGAAACAAACAAATTATAAATGTCAACATGGATGTCTGTATATAGCCGTGATACATGCATATTTACATGACATCTCTGCTATATATATGTACAGTTGCTATAAAAATACTAAATGCCTGTGAAAAAAAATCATTAATTTTGATGCAGTCCAGGTCGAAGCTTTGCTAAGTGCTACATCTATCTTACCTGCTATCAACACAGTACCAAGTTGCTTTTTTTCCCAATTTGATATAATTTATAATATGTGTGCTGAATTTTTTTATATACATGTATATAGTCTAGAACTAAATGTACTGTAAGAAAAGGGGAGCCAGTAAAAACCCTTCTGGTCCAGGGTCGGGGTTCGAACCCACGACCTCCCGAGCACCAGAGCTTCATTAACCAGACGCTCTAAGTCTAACCGCTCGGCTGAAAAGGTCTAGACCCGTCGGCCGGGTCAGTTGATAGTGCCTATAAACCCCCCACTGTTACAGTACAATATAATTATTTTGAAAGAAATGACCTATACTCCCCCTCATCCATACAAACTCACATGACTATCAGGCTTACTAGCTTATCAGTTATATCAGCTGTAAACAAACTACAACATGGACTTTGATTAGGGGTGGGACTATAGCTAGGACAGACTACCTCACAGAAATCATGGCTGCCATGTCACAAAGTCTGGGGGAACAAATCCACGAAGAACTGTCCTGTAGCATCTGCCTGGAGCTGTTCACCAGGCCCAAGGTGCTGCCCTGTCAGCACACCTTCTGTCAGGACTGTCTACAGGACCACGTCGAGGTCAGAACACCTTTGGAGTGTCCCAACTGCCGGCAACCATTCAGCCTACCACCTGGTGGGGTCCCTGCTTTACCCGACAACCACCTTGTAGCAAGTCTGTGTGGAAGAATCATCAAGCAGAGTTTTCCTAGTAGTATAGATAAAAAGAGACAGCCAACATCTTCAGAACAGTGCAGTTTTCACCCAGGTGAACAGCTATCTCTGTACTGTGAGGAATGTACCGTGCAGCTGTGTATGACATGTTTAGACGAGGCTCACAGGGGTCATAGTACGATGTCCTTGAAAAGAGCCTCCCAGGAAAGGCGGGCTTCAGTACAGACCCTGATCGGGGAGGGGAGAGATGTTATAGAGACTTACTGCGGCTTGCTACGAGATCTGAGGGACAAGGAAAAGTTCCTGACTGATCAGAAGACGCTGACAGAGAGCAGCATTCATGTGGCTTTCAACCAAACAGTACAGATGCTGACTGAAAACAGGAACGGGCTGCTGGCTAAAGTGGAACAAAGGTACACGCTGAACATGGAGACCATACAGGGTCAAAGAGATGACATTCTGTCCACAGTTTCAGAGATATCCGCCGCGTGTGACAATGCTGAGGTGACAATGCAGCAAAAGGGGAGGACGTCCTTTGACCAGGAGATTGGTTTAAAACGGTTGGTGGGAAAGTACAAGGGTAGAGCAGGCCAACACCCTACGGAAGCCAAGGTTGCCGTGTTCCAGACAGTAGAGGTGAAGGTACCACCACTAGGATTCGTGACTGTTCAGTCCATCTCTCTCCCTGATAGTCAGGGAGTCAGCAAGGATCCGCCACGTACACAGAGCGTGAAGTTTGGCGGACGGGGATCAGACCAGGGAAAATTCGACAGACCACACGGTGTTACGGTGTCCAAAGATGGCCTGGTGTTCGTATCAGACTACGGAAACGAAAGGATTCAATGCTTCAACCTACAGGGCACTTTTCTCCACCAGTTCCCAACAGTCGTGTCAGTGCAGGGCGTTTTCAAATCTCTTGTGACGGCCAAACAGAGGATGAAGCCAGAAGATTTGTCCATGGACAGGGACGGTAACCTGTGGGTGGTGGGTTCCGATAACTCCGCTGAGTATGCCGTACAGTACAGCCCCAGAGGTAAGCTGCTGACCAAGATCGACTTAAAGCGCACAGGACGGCAGAGAAAAATTGCCATTGACACAATAAGGAACAACGTCATTATAACAGAAACGTCGGGCTCAATGTCACCTCAAGGTGTCCTGTGTGTGTACAGGCCAGACGGGACACTTGAGAGAACACTGGGGGGCCAACACAAGATGGCACGGCCGGAGTACATATCTGTGAACAAGGGAGGGCACATCTTTGTCTCACACTTCATGGCGTCCTGCGTGTACGTGTTTCGTGAGGACGGGCACATGCTGTCTGTTTTCGGGGGCGAAGGAAGCAGGGAAGGCGAGCTGAAGTACCCAGGAGGCATTTGTACGGACAGTTCCGGTAACATCATCGTGGCAGACAAGGGGAACAAGAACGTGGCAGTGTTTGACAGGACTGGGAACTTCCTGAGATACATCACTAGTGTGGAGGGTCGACCTGTGGCCGTTGCCATGGCACCAAAGGGACAGCTGGTAGTGACTGACGACATCCACAACACCGTCACCATTCTGTACAGTTACTGACTCCTTACATTTAGTAATCTCGATCCAGTTTTAGCTCGCTAAAGAGCTAATCTCAAAATTTCAATGTAGTAATTCTGCTGGATTTTTCACTTGGTGGATCCTGACCCATCTAAATGTTGTTACAACTAAGGCCTATCATAAATTCATTAATACTCAGCAATGACAAAATCTGTATACATGATCGATGTATTACTAACTAAAGCTGTATTTCAAAAGATAATTTCAAAATTAAGAATTGGTTACTTTACGAAGCTGATCTAGAGCTGATTTTCTGATCTGCCTATAAAACAGCTTTACTCAGTCAACAAATTGACTTTTTTAGTTTTACATATTAATTTACTTACACCAAGTTACAGTCTTCATATTAAGTTGGACCTACATTGTAATATATATATACAAATGTATATTATCAAATAAATCACTGTTCTTTATAAAGTCATAATGCAATGTTAGTTTGACCCTATTTTGTTGTGTACTAGTAAGTTACTAGATAATTTGGAGGTATCAAATCTACATTGTGTTCTATTGAGAAATTCTTTGTTAGACCCTGTTCATACCAGACTTATATTTAGCGGTTTCAACCGGTTTTTCAAAAACCGGTTTTTATTTAACCTGGTGTGAACGCAAATTAACCGGTTTTTTAGGGGTTTAAATCCGATTTTCAAAAACCACCTCGGGAGGTGGTTTTTTAAGGGTTTTTGAGGGGTTTTTCCACCGAAAAACCTGGTCTGAACGCTAAGGGTTTATTGAACCGGTTTTTGCGTCATAATTCCGGGGTCACGGGGTCAGCATCCTGGCCGTGGACGACCTAAAGCTTTTTTATGGCGTTGTTTTGACCAATTTGAGTTCGTTTCCACTGTTTTCCCACGGTTTCTGTTAATTTTGAGATCGATGGAATCAGCATACGCAACCTGGTCGACAGACGAGACGCTCCTGATACTTATTTATGTATTTGTGGAGAGCTGGACTCGCCGAATTTGACAAAGCTGGGGGGGGGGGTCTCTACCGAAACAAACATGTTGGAGGAACCTGGTTTATTTAAGGATCAGTGCCACAGTAAAAGGTAATGAACATGAAGACGGTATACAAGAAGGCGACAGCAATCGGAAGAGCGGGAGGAACGGTTATTCAAACTGCGTCATGCCCGATTAATTGGATATTCACCGGACAGGATTTTTACAAAACCGGTTATGAAAAGTCTGGTATGAACGCTAAGGGTTTTAGCCGGGTTTTCCTCCGCTAATTATTTAGCGGTTTCAACCGGTTTTTAAAAGTCTGGTATGAACGGGATCTAACAAGGGTGACTCACTGTGTCATGAACAATTCAT